TCATTCTTACTATTTGTTTAAGACCATATTAGCAAGTGATAAGGCCAAAGAGAATATATATATTACCTATAATTAATTAGCACAGTTACTGTGTTCTTTGATGTGTTATATGTAAGAGTTAATAAAAGTAATCTATTGGAAAAAATGAATAAAACGGATCACCTATTTCTGTAAGGAAAAGCGAATTTCGGAAAAACTCTTCAAGCAGGTTTTTGAAAACTAGCTTGCGTTTGCCGATAACTATGGATAATCGATCGTGTTAAGTCTCTTGGCGATATTGTTTTTAGAAAAAGTTTTAAAAAATCTACCGAAAAGCCAGTTTTCACCTAATACAAAAACATTCACTATTCACTCAAAATACATCAGACCAAGCCCAAAATCTCAGGATATGATTAATGTTGTTTGCTAAACATGATTATAAGATCGAAGAAATTGAAAAGCATATTTTTGTTAATAGGTTTTTCAGAAACTCTTTTGGAATGCGTTCGGGACTTTTAAAATTTATTTCGAGCTCTTCCATAAACAGCATATAGAATAGCTTAAATACTCTACATTCTGAAGTTCTGTACTTGTTCTGATGTTTTTTCAGCGAATAGTGGAAAACTAGCTTTTCGGTAAATTTTTAAAACTTTTTCTAAAAACAATATCACCAAGAGACTTAACACGATCGATTATCCATAGTCCATCCGTCTTTAAGGCTAGCAGGGGTCACTGGGTGTCAGTCCTGGGACCGGTCAGAAATCCGATACAGCACCCGAACTGCAGAAAATCAAGGTCTTGCTTTACTCCCATTTTGAAGAGAACGCCCCTGGCTATCAGTCCATGAAAAAAATCAATACATTCCTATGTGAATTTCGGCAAACGCAAGCTAGTTTTCAAAAACCTGCTTGAAGAGTTTTTCCGAAATTCGCTTTTCCTTACAGAAATAGGTGGTCAGTTGCCTAGTTTTCAAAACTGAAAACTGCCGGTCTTTATCTCATTTCTGTGAAAAGTTATTCGAAAAATATCCGAGACCATTGTATCTTGGAACACATAGTAGTTCTATGTATAGAAAGCAATTCTTATTCTTTATTTTAGAACTTCAATTGTTTTAACTTGTATAAGACCTGCTGTTTCTTTTTTAAAGTATCATGAGAAATGTAATGTTGGATTAGAACGTACAGTGTCCAAGGAATGGCTAAGCATTTTTCTTCAACTATACAATTGCATCTTCTATCGCTTTTTTCTTTTGTTCTGGTGCTTGTCTTGAACCACCTGGTCTCACCAGAAAACCGTGTGCTCTACCCAAGTAATCAATGAACTCTCCTCTGCCCTTACCACCACCTAATACTCGTTCAGAAATGGTGTCGGATTTTTGATGTAAAGACTTAATCTAGCTCAGTATATTCAAATAAAATCAGTCGTTCTATCCGTTCACCCTCTTCTTTGGAACGAGGACGGATGTGCTACTATTGCCGCCTTCAGCGCAGCGGTATTTGCTGTTGCATAATTAAGTGGACGCACTGTTTCGCGCCCTTACAAAAACCAATCACTTTAATGGATTGGTATTGTTTAGCAATTGCAGAGATACATTCTTCTGCCATTTGACGCGCCTTAGCTGGAGAATGTGTGGGTAGCCAGTCTTTGAGTTTACTCCATAGATCAGTTTTATAGGTGTTCATTGGACTGCCACCGAACTGATCTGGCACATACACTGAGAAATCACCTCGTTTAGTATAATACAAGCTTAGCCTTCGCTATGTACATAAAGTAATCTTCTCATTATACTACATTTACGGCAAAAAACGATTTCATCACATTTCCATGAGGCGTAGTCGCAGGACAAGCAGCTATCTATTCCTATTTTCTCTATGACAAATGATCCATTACTCGACGAAAAAAAGTAATAAGAGTCCAGCATATCCACCCACCAATTGTTGCGATACGAAGAATAAATATCGAACATTTCGCCCCGGGTATAGAGCGCCCAGATAGTCACATAATAAAAAAGGACCTTTCAAAGGCCACCTTTTGTCAGCTGATTTCTAACTTATTTTCTAACTTGTTTGGTTCCTCAGAAGCGGCAGTAAGCAGAACCAAACATAATAATATAGTTGGATAGAGCGAGAAAAAGGCTAAACAAGATAAACAAAGCCGTCACTGTATGGAAAATAAACGAGAAAAAATTGATTTACGTTCTTGAGCATTCGTTAGACTTATAGTGAACTGAGTGAAATAAAATCGCCTCCTTAAGAGATTTCTTAGGTAGTCAATAGCCATTGATTGTTTTCTGTGGAGAGCTGCTATTCTTATAACAAGCGTTTTATAATAGGAGAAGTTTATTGTAATCAAAATCATGACATCGCGGTTCAAAGTATTCTGATGCAAATTGATTTTCCTATGGAGATGTGCACGAATAATGGCCTGTTTTCATAACTTTTGCGAGTGGCATTTTTTTATGACTGGTCGCCATACTGGCGTCCAAAGAGACTCTACGCGTCAGCTTTCAAGAAAGCGTCTCAAAAAATGGTTCTTTTTAAGAGAATAAAGAAGAAAAATAGAAGTCTCGTTAAAATATATAATTACTGGAAATCTCAGCTCGTCGCGATATGCCTTAGATCTAGTAATCGCCTCCATCTGCTAGCTAAGAAAGCCATATGTTGTGTTAGTCAGTCCACTGACTATTAGCTCTGGTCTTCAAACGACTACCAAACCAGTTGATTTGCAAAATAGAGGCAAATGTTACACACGTCCTCTAAAATTTTCTCCAGTGGAAAGATTATGTTTGTTCACATATTAACGATTAAAGTGGCTGTTGTTATATGATACACATAAAAGCTCATCTAGGCTACTCATTATAATGCTATAATCTCGTTAATGTATCATGGAATAAATGAAAAAATAAATCGCTGCAAACGTTTCTCTTCTGCTTCATTTATTGTCTTTCTGTGATAAGATTATACGCAATGGAAATAAAAAAGTCTTTCTTCCTTATCACCTGTAACGAACAGGAAAAAAGAAACAGAAAGAGAGAGAATACATACATGTGTCTAGGAGCATAATAGCAAGAAAATAAAGGCAGTAAGGCTCATTTTAAAAAAAACTACTATATAGGGGAACAAACGGTTATTGTTTCTTTCACACAAAGGTCCTTGTTAATCATTCGTAATATGGAACCAAATGGAATGTTTATAGAATGTGACTGTATACAGTTCTTTTTCTGTTCTTTCATTGCTTCACACTCCATTCATTTGAAGGGCATAACTTGATGATCAGAATTAATGTTTCTCAGACGCACAGGATTTGAAAGGGGTTCAAAAGCAACGTTGTTTTGTTTCATTAACGTACTGGTGTTACACGTATAAGTGTAACATCTGTGGATCTTGTACTTGGCAATAAAAATAACCTTTTCGTAAATTGTTTGAATAAATTAATGTGTAAATAGGTATATTTATTCTCTGAAAGTGTCTTTTTTTGTTTTTTTATTAGATCTTCATTGCACGATACAATGACCAACTATTCATCATTACAAGAAGAAGAAGATATGGAACAAAAAGAGTTGAATAATTCATCACCATCATCATTATCCTCTACATTTGGTTCATTCATCCTTCTTTTCCATGATTCACTTAGAAATTTTCTCAATCGACAGTCGATCATTGTTAGTAAACCGGTGCGTGGCATAGAATTATTTCAGCGTAGTATTCGTCGTATTATAGAACGTGATCGAAAGAAAAAATTAGAAAATGAGAAACAACTGTTAAAGTCTGATGATAATATACAAGAATTTTTATTAATTTTTAATGATTTTTCATTTACAAAAAGCATTTTATTGAAAAAAAAATAATACAAAATCGTCAATGGGCGATTGAATTTACTCGAAGTGGCGGTCTCAATGCTTTATTAGGCTATATCAATCGTACAACAGCAAAAAGATTGACATTGATTGATGTAATACTTCTCAATGAAGCATTGCAATGTCTTCGAAAATTAATGAATATAATTGAAATATTTGAGCATATTGCCAATAATAATCAATATATCAATGGAATTGTCAAAAGTAAGTGAACATCTCTGCGGAATGTCACTCTGTTCATTTGATTGATTGGTTTTCGCTTTAGCATTAACAATTCCATCGCCTGAAATTCGTATGCGTGTATTCGAACTATTAACAGCACTGTGCGTGTATTCACACGAAGGCTATGATCTCGTTCTAAAAGCATTACGTGATTTTGAGGTAAATTTTTTTGGTATGTCTTTTTTATGATTAATGTTACAAAGTCAAGTAGTCAATCTTAAAAAATGCATAATTCCAGAAGGAAGGCCGCCTTAGGGAGTTGAGCGATGTCTCATTCTATAGAGGGTACATAACGGTATAATGGATGGTCCAGATTAAATTGATACTTTTTGACAGGCTTTTTTCTTAAGTTAGACTCGACCAGAAAGTTTGTTTTAGATGCTAAAGATAGAGAATTTTGCATAGATTTTACTGATATGTTATTTTTTAAATAAGCATCTACCGTTCTTTTGTAACATTAATAGTATTGGATGCCGCAAAAACATCCTTGCTTGGCAGTTGACTGGAATAAAATATCATTTTTATTTGGTAAATAGTTTTCTATACGCTATTCAAACACGCTATGAAAACGTACAGAAACGTATTTGTTTTTGAGACACAAAACCAGAGTTTTGGACTGAGTTTTACTATTTTGAAAACCGCCCGAAAATATGTTAATTATCAAAACAATAGTTCTACATAATCTAATGAAATATCATAAAATCTTATAGTTTTTGTTAATTTTTCAATATAATCTTTGATATTAATACATTAGGATATGTTGTCATGCCACTAGAGTATTGTTTAAAGCCTGTTTAATTTTAAATAATATTAATATCAAAGATTATATTGAAAAATTGACAAAGAATACAAGATTTTATGATACTTTATTAGATTATGCAGAACTATTGATTGATATTGGTCATGAAAATGATAATGATGATGATGAAAGTAATGACACGGAAGAATTTGATAATCGAGAAACCGGTATTTCTGATGATAAACTTCGGTGGATTGAAAATCCAAAGAAAAGAACGAGCGCAAATCAATCAGAGCGTATCAATAAAATATTTTGTATCAGATAAGATGATGTATTTTGGTTTAATTTTGTGAAGAAACGTACAACCCATATCATGAAAACCGGTTAAATTTCGACCGGTTACCACTCCGGTACCTGTTTGTTACATTCCCCGGTATACCACCAGTGGAACTGAAATTACCGCACGGTATACCAACCGGTTGTACCAGTAGTATCAACCGGTATTTTATCACGATAAGCAAACAGTACAGGAGTTTGAATCTAGTTCTCAGCTTTCTTTTTTTCTGAAGTACACATGCAGCGCAATGAGGTACCCAAACGGGAAAAAACTTGACTCAAGTCGAAGCGTAATAAAGAGAAGAGAAATCAAATTTTTTTCATTTTTATCATCAATCATTGTTTATTAAACTTAAGCAGTCTTCTCTCTTATTTCTTTTTGTATAATGTAACTGTCCAAAATATCTGCTCTTTCAAATGTCGTTTGAACTAGCTCTCTAGCATTAATAGTAAAAGAGACATATCAAAAACAAAACTCACGATTTATTTTTCCTTATCTTGGTCACTTAACAATGTCATAACTGGCTAACGTTTGGTGCTACACGACCGAAATTCTGTTGACGATCAGTATCTACAAAATATCAAGCCCTGGATTAACTTCATAAGACATTTTATCTTCTTACTACTGCTAGTATGATCTCATGTCTCGATCGACTTATAGAACGTGAGATCCTTCTTACTGTATAATATATAATTTGAATCAACCAAAATAGTTGTATATTTATCATTTGTTTATTATTATTTTAGACAGAATATTCGAATGTATTTGCCGTGATTACTGAACAATTAAAATATACGGAAGTGGCAAAACATAAATGGTCCGCATTAGCTTTAATAAATAATATTTTATCTTGTACAGATTTTATTGACAAACGTTTGCACTACAGAAATATTTTATTAGGTGTGAGTTTTAATAATGATTCATCACTATAAACGTTTTTGGTCTTTTTACTCTTGTTCATTTTATAGCGGATGGATTTTTATCAACATTAGAACGAGCAAGACGTTATGATGATATTGATCTTAATTTTCAAATTGATATTTTTCTAGAAAAGAAACAGTATGGTGAAGAAGAATATTTAAAGCAATTTGATCAAAATGACCTACTGGCTATTGGTCGAGCGATCGAGTTTCAAGTGAGTGAATGACACGATGACATGGCTGAGTAAAGCAAGAATTCTGTTGTCCTCTTTTGAGACTTCTTGGGTAGGGAACATCTTTTAAACTTTTAACGATGTTAAATGAATATTGTTTAGTCGCTCACTCTAACTCGCAATGAAGGTTCGAGGTTAATAGTAATTATAAATATGTTTGTTTCTTTGAGGGTTTATGCAGCGTCGTTCATGCGCATTGTGGACTATACTAATTAGTTCAGTCTCTGCTTGATTGTTTATCTTGTGAATTTGTTCTTGTGTATCGGGAAGGCACTGCGAGGCCATTCCATGTAACGCCTTTTTTTTTTAAGCAGTTGAATCTTTATTTAAAAAAAATACAGCAAATCGGGCTTTCTCCCATTACATGCTGTCAAAAAGTAAAAACCCCGGGCCTTGTAGTTAAAGCCTTTTACTTTTAAGTTTTGAAAAGAAGTCGTTATCATTTGGCTTTTTTTTCTGTTTGTTGAATAGTTTTTAGATTTTGAGCATATGATTGAATAGAGAAATGTTGCAATCGCAATCGCAATAATATCATTTTAGTTTGATTCCTGCTCATTCTTGAGGGCGAAAATCGAACTTCGAAAACATAGTTATGTGTAAAATACGAAAAGGTGATTCTGTAACGATGATTTAAACATGAATTTCGGAGCCATAAAGAAATTTGTTTTCAGTCGATAGTCTATGGACTTTTCTAAAATATTGCCAGCAAAAGTTAGATTAGCTGAGTTTTCGACAACTTGGAATTGTATTGGAATGATTGCTTCATTTCGAATGATTTTGTAACGCTCGATATTTTTCTTATAAAACTCCCACTATATCGTAGTTATTCACGATTTGGTAAGAGTTTAAGCATCTTATACAACGGTTAGAATACTACATAATTTTTGTTGTTGCAGTAATTGACTTGAAATGATTGGCTTCGTATGTTGATACATTTTGATATAATTCTATTCGTAATGGTTAGAAGTATGAATCTACAATCCAGTTTCTGAACTCTTAACAAATTTTAAAACTGACTCTTTTTTTAAACTCATAAAATGATCACCGATGGAGTAAGTCATAGTTGTCGGTTTCAGGTAGATCGATGCTGCATCTGTAGTCAATAATCTTCGAAGCTAGTCATTCACTTCTTTGTCAATTAGTAAACTACAGCTCAGGCCAGAGCGTTAGCTAGACGAAGAGTCCTTTCTGGGGTAGATCTCTGGAATTTGGATATTCAGAGATCCACTATGAATTTTCAGCTGAACATATTTTGGCACTGCCAGATTGTGGAGCACATTGAATTATCTATGTGAGAAAATGTTCAGAACCAACGAACCAGTTTTCACAGAGAGAGAGCAATCTTTTGGGTTTAAAAGTCTGAAATATTTTGGTTCCCTACTGGATCAGAAAATAAAATTTTTCACTCTCTGCGAAAACTTGTTCGTTGGACCCACCGCAAAAAGGCCTAGCAGCTGAAACAGATATCAGATCCGTAATCGACATCCAAGATTATTCATAATCGTGTGTTTTAAAGGAAAAGTGAATGGATACTTGGAAAGGTTCCCTTGTAGTGTACAGTAAGCAACCCCATTCTAGCTCTCTAACAAACTATGATGTACTTCACAATGTAATGAGTATGTTGCCAGACAGCTAGCTGTTTTCTTAAGGTTACTACACTACTTGGTGGCATCAAAGTTCGAACATAGTACTTTTAAAGTTCATGCCGAACAATATAACCTTTAAGTTAAGCTGCTCATATAGACTTAACGAACTCCACTGATTTTGCCTTAAACCTCAAAAACATATTCATTAAAACATGTCTCTCATGTATTATCAGTTAGGGGTGTTTTTTGTCCTAGCTCATCCCATTCCGAGATGTCCAGGACAGGATTTCCACACCTACATCCGTCTTATATCAAAATATTGTTTTTATTTTTGGTTTCCATTTTCCTATTAGTACACCGCTTTGAGAATGATGTGTAGGATGGGTAAGTTAAGTGATATGCCCGTTTTTTGAAAACTCGGATTCGTTACCCGTACAGCTAAGAACAATGATAGCTCTAATTGTTTTCTATTTTGCTAAATTCAGACTTCTGATCATGTTTTATATACATCGTTCATCTTGAATGATATCAGCTAAGTACAGGGTTCGTGATTACTACTCCGTTGTCTAGAACAGATTTTCAGGAAAAGATGTTTTGCACAAACTCGAGAAAAAGTTGCCCACAAATCTTGTGTGTACGATTTTTCTGTCAAACGTTTAAGACTTGAAAGAGATAAAATGTTCAAAAGATTCATTTTGATAAGATTTATGATAAAAAACTTTATTTTATTTTTAGCTTCGAACAGATTCAAATGAAAAAGCAATGTATCTGACAGCGATGCAATTATTACATGCAACATTCACATCGTGTACTAGTGACGAAAAGTACATTTTTAATAATGATGTGTGCACCTTACACTTATATCATCTTTCTTTTAGACAAACTCTACTACAAAACGTGCTAGATTGTATAACGCATTATCGAGAAAAACAAATCGTATCTAATGTTCAGAAATCGTCTGATAAAATAATAATAAAATTAAACGAGCTTAGTACGTACACAAACCGATATACCATTCAATTCTGTTGTTAAAACCAACAATATTATTAATAACTTTGAAAAGGACATACTATCTTCATCTCTTGATACATCTATAATATCTTCACCACCTAATGCACCGCCACTGCCAGAAAGTTTAGCAGGCAACAACTCGGTGTCACCAGCTCTACCCTTAAAAAAGACAGCAACAATCACATCCGAGCAACAAGTTTTTGCATTACCTTCCAGTTCGACAGTACCAGAAGCGCCATCGTTGAAGAGTGATATATCTTGTTCTCCGTCAGTTTTGTCTACCAACGTGACAACAGGCTCTGTATTAGAGCAACAACGAATATATTCATCAGGAATATCGAAATTATTAGATAGTATTCCCAGACCTGAAGGAAAAGTACGTCGATTACCATGGAAAAAATTACAACAAACAATTCTCAGTATGCGCTCTTCTTGTCTTTGATAAAAAATATTTACTATTTATCATTTTATAGGTAAAAGTAACTTTTGGTCAGATATTAACGATTGTGATGATGTAAAAATTGACTTTAAATTAATTGAAAAATATTTTGAAATCGATGATAGCAATGATTCAAAACAAAACGATAAAACAGATAAAATTGTCTCTTCGCATGTAAAACTGATAAAGACGAAAACATTGAAAATAAGTTATTTCATAGACGTTTTTTGAAACATTTAGATTCAAATATTACCATGTACACGTTCAATTAATATTGATGTATTTTTAAAAAAATTTAATATTGATTTTGACGAGATAGTACAAGCAATTTGTTGTTATGATACTAAATCGACAAATGTGGAATGTTTAAGAATGTTATCAAAAATATTACCAACCTCCGAAGAGGTAATATTTCATCTCATTTTAACTTCTGAATTATTGTTAAAATATTTTTATTTATTTCAAGATTACTCTTGTTAATAATCACATGTGTGATCAGTGGTCGACAGCTGAACATTTTATCCATTCAATTAGTAAAATTCAACATTATGAATTTCGTATTCAGACACAATTATTGATCGTTGATTTTAAAGAATTTATAAGCGATTATAGAGAAAAATTTCAACAATTATTGGATACAATGGATTATTTAAAACATAATTTATCTATTAAAGAATTTATTCGTTTATTATTGGCAATTGGAAATTTTTTAAATTACGTACATATATAAAAGACAATAAACGAAAAGACAAAATGAAAATATTCAATTTATTATTCAGGACACATATAATGGCGATGCTAGATATTTATCGGTTTGTGTACTAGGCTCGTTTAATTTTATTATTATTTTATCAGACGATTTTTGAACATTAGATACGATTTGTTTTTCTCGATAATGCGTTATACAATCTAGCACGTTTTGTAGTAGAGTTTGTCTAAAAGAAAGATGATATAAGTGTAAGGTGCACACATCATTATTAAAAATGTACTTTTCGTCATTAGTACACGATGTGAATGTTGCATGTAATAATTGCATCGCTGTCAGATACATTGCTTTTTCATTTGAATCTGTTCGAAGCTAAAAATAAAATAAAGTTTTTTATCATAAACCCTATCAAAATGAATCTTCTGAATCTTCTTTTATCTCTTTCAAGTCTTAAACGTTTGACAGAAAAATCGTACACACAAGATTGGCATCTGAAACAGTTGAGGAACACGACGAAACTTCAGAACTATCACTTGATGATGATAGTGTACGGCTTTTATGTGGATCGCTAACTGCATAACGTTTCTTAATATCTAGGTTGTCATTTTCCACGTCTATTTCTACACTTTTTTTCTGTCCCCGCCATCGCTGGCTTTTTCATCATTTTTGAAATCATTTAGGTTCTTTAATATTCATCGGGTCAAAAAACCGTTCGGGTTTTAAAAAGTACCTTTTTTTAGAGCGCACATAAACTGGTGAAATATCTCAATCATAGTTCATGACTGTCCGTAACAGTCCTTCAGAATGTCAGGTTAGTACAACTTGAATTGTTCTCTTTTTCTGTTCTACACTTTAACTCTTTATTGGTCTATCTGCTTTTCTTTGTAACTTGCCAGACTCAAGAGCCATAAGAGATATAAATCCTTTTGGTACAGTCTCCCTTACAACCGATGAAGCAAAATATTTTCCTGCTTCTCACTTTACCGCACATAAAGAAGTGAATATTATTGTTTCAGAGAAAGTTTCCTTAGCTCAATTTTTCTCCCATTAATTATACTCATTTAGCCGTCAGCTGAAGTAAGCAAAAGTGCAGTTTAGAAATGAATGTTTGATCTAATATATAACTACGATTTCTTCTTGAATTGACAACTATCTTGGAAACGTAAAGTGTTAGTAAGCGCTGAAAACTTAATTACTTTCCTTTCTCAATATAAGAACAGAATCGTTATATGCCCAAATTATAAGAAAACATAATTCTTTGTATTTGAAATGATACTGTCCTCTAAAAAATAGATATTTCATTTGCAACTGAAACTTAAAGAGGGTTTAGTAAGCGTGAAAAAACCCTACTAAACCCCAAAAAGGCTTCCGTATATTCACAGTTTCTTGAACGCTTTCTAGGTTTTTTAAAATGCGTATCCTTTTTTAGGAAGTAACCTCTACTCATTCCATTTATTTTGCGTCTTTTTCACTTCCCATATACTTGCAAGCAAAATAAAAAACACTTGAGATCTGCAGACAAAACTGTATAGTATGGCATATTTGGTAGTGGTTTGTTGAGTAAAAAAAACTCATCGAAAATTTTTTCTCTTGAATCGGAGTGAGTGTGAAGTCTTCTTGACAATATTTTACCTATAAGTTTTCATTACCCAG